TTGCATCTCTCAAATGTTGCGAGAGAAAGTTCACGTGTTTAGGCGTATTACGTGTCATTTGACGAAACGCCCTTATCCTGCGGGTACCTCCCCTGATTATTTGGGTTCATTTGAGGTTTCTTACAAAATGTTAAATGGTCGGGCTGCAGTGCTTTTTGAGCGGGAGAGTGACTTTCCCGATAAAAACAAGGACGAGGTGCTCTCTCGTTTTACTTTAAGATCGCATGCTTGGGGTTCGATTTTAAGAAACCAAATTTTTTTATTTTCTACTTTGTTGTCATTAGAGCAGCAGCCGGGGGTACCCAAAGAGTCTATTATAGAAACTGTTAAACGCATGTGCTTCACATATGTACCTGAACACTTGGACGAGAGGGGTAGACGGGCTTACATGCGAAAATATAAATTGTAGGATGTGTGTGTGTATGTGTGTGTGTGTGCGTGTTGGTGTAAAAATTGTATATAAATAGGGGGTATGCTTGGTTATAAAGTTCATTCTTGTAGTTGAGTTTTGAGCGTAAAGATGTCGAGGGTTTTCTTTCTTATGTTATGTGTTAGTTTTAAATTTGTCTTTGCTGAGGTGAACGATACTGTGAAGAATGTGACTTCTTATTGTTTTGATCAACGGATAGCTGGGGATATAATAGTATTAAGTTTTTTTGTTTTCTTTGCTCCATGTTGCTTAATTATTTCTCAGTGTGTGTTAGATAATTTTGAGGAGGAAGAGCAGGAGGTAACGGAGCTAAGGAGGGCAAGTGTGTGATTTGACAAAGCTTCGCAGAGCAAAGCTCTCTTTGTTTTTGTTGTATCTCGCAATGGTGCGTCAGTGCGTGCAAGATGTAAGTTTATTTTTTGCAAACAACGTTGAAATCGTTTTCTTGTTTCTTATCGTAACATGTTTCATGAAATTGTGCGTGTTTCTAATCGTAGTGTACTTTTTTACTTTTTCAGCTTCGCGCGACGGTGATTGAGTCATCGTCAGGGCTACCCACCAGGACGTTTTGGTCGGAGGCACGTGGGCAAGGGGTATGTATTTTTGCTTCTTCAAACATGTGAAAATGTGTTGTGTAATACGTTTATTGTGTGTATGAAATATGGATCCGTATACTAATATGTAACGTTTGTTTTTTCATTCCAGGTTGCTAAAAAGCAGTTGGGCGACTTGTTAGATGTTGAGAATGTACATAAATTTGGAACGTTGATTGAGAATATCGAGTGGCTTTTCCACTTTGCCAAAATCTGCGGCGTGGAGAGAAGGAAATATGAGAAGAAAGCGAGGAGGTTGGTCACCTTAAAAGCCAAGTTGGAGCGGTTACGCCTTAAGGTAAGCATCATTTTTCCTTTCTCGAGTACACAAATCGAGTATTTTGAGAAGTAAACCTATGCTTTTTTAAAATGTCTGAATTGTTCTTATTCGTTTTTGTCTTTTGTCGTTGTTACAGGAGCGTAAACGGTAGAGGTTGTTGAACTTCTCTCCACGCATGCGTTGTCACGACCTCGCATGAACTCCCCTAGGCGTGGTCGCCGTGGCTCGGGGGGAATGGTTGAACTTCCCCCGGTAGGGCCAGCCCCGCTGAATGGAGTTTCCACGCCTGTCTGGACCTTCCACCCACGCCCCTCTCAACACGTGTCCTGGGGAGATTGGCAGAAACTTCCCCTTGCCCGAGGACAGCCCCGGGTGAATGGGCTTCCCTTCTCTTGGCCCGCCCCGGCATGGAGAGTCCGGGTGAATGGGTCTACCCCGCGCGATGGGAGGACCCCGTGATCCTCGGTTGGGTATCCCGTCAGCAGCGACCGTCACCGTCATTGGGTATCCACAGGACCGTCCATTGCTCCGTTGACCTCAAATAGTTTGAAAAGATGGGAGGGGGAGGGTGGGTAGATTTTAAGCTTTCATTTTTGTGAATAATTGTTAACCTTGTGTAAATAAATTGTATTTTCAATTGACTTTGATATCCTCTTGACCACCATCATTCCTTATGGTCTTCAATTATAAATAATAAATAAACATTGAGTTTGATCGTAGAAAGAAATTAAAAGAGAAACACTTTGACGTACCATAGCTAAAAATTCTTTTTTCAAAAACACACTTGCTTTTAAAACGATAGCAGATATGAAAAACGCTTGTTTCATATGGAATCAGACTTATTCACAATTTTCTCATACTTGAAGAAAGTTTATTTTTGTTGTGTGATAGTTTTTGTTTGATGTCAAAGACTAAAAAAATAGTAGAAATGGTGTACTCAGCACCGAATCAGTTTTATTCTTTAGTTTTGAAAAAAAAAGTAAATGAAATAGTTGTCATGTTAAAAATGTTTTAAAGTAGAAAAGTAAAGAGAAAAATCATCTCGAAGTTTGAAACGTTAGTGAGTGAGCAATGGTAAAAATAAAATCATAGCATTTCTCATGTCGAAAAGCAGAGACGTTAGTGAGTAAAATAAAATCATAGCATTTCTCGTGTCGAAAAGCAGAAAGGTGGAGAGAGCAATCATCTCAAAGTTTGAAACGATAGTGAGTGAGTAAAATCAAATCAAAGCATTTCTCGTGTCGAAAAGCAGAAAACGATAAGAGATGAATCACATCAGTTGTGTCTTTTCTTTCCAATAGATAAAGTTTCAAAAGAGATTCTTTTTAAAAACCAAAAGATGTTGAGTTGTTTCAAAAAGTTTAATTTCAAAAGAGAGCAACGCTCCAGTCAGCTCGTAAAGAATTACGTGTTCTTGTAATGTGAATATTAAGATACTTGAGGTTTAGCGTTTCATTTTCGATAAAAGGAAGTGTGAGGAATGAGGACAAAAAGTTGTTTAAAATTAATACATCATTTTATTTAGAAATATTTTACAAACATGTACACATGAAAAACACTGGAGGGAAAGATTACAAGTATAGCGATTTCAGTTTATCTAGAACACAACAAAATGCAAACTTCCGATGGTAGTCAATAAAATCATGCTTGAATTCACACGGGTCAAAAATCTTTTCAATTTTCATCAACTCCAACTGACCCTGCACAAAAATAGAATCATCGGATTTATACAATGCGTCCCACAACAAAGGAAAATCAGTTTTAACTTTATCAAACGGCAGGTTCTTCTCTTTTAGAATCTCGGCAGCTGAGAGCACAAGTTGATCGTAATACATGATCATGTAAGGATAGCCTTCCTTCAGCTTATTCACTTTGTAAATGATGTTATCTTTCAAACGCAAAAATGAGTTGAAAGTTTGAGTAACTAAGCATATATTTTGTTCACTGAAATCAACTCTCTCCATTTTCAGGACGAATCTATCGTTAGACATTTTCAAACAGGAAAGCTTTAAACCAAGAATAGTAATAAAATCCCCCTCACATTTTTTGTTAAGCATTTTTACGACCCCTCTCTGCACTTTAGAAGACATCAAAGTA